TCGAGGGGGAGTGGGGGATGAATTCGTTTACATGGACGATAATGCTCCTCCCCATCGCACTTTAGCGGTTCGCGAATTTTGTGAGGAAGAGGGTATAAGAAAACTGTCTTGGTCACCGATGTCTCCAGATATGAATGTAATCGAGCATGCTTGGGACATGCTAAAACGCCATATATTGCCAAAAGGAATGATCCCCTTAAACCTTAAAATGTACTGAATACGTACCTTAAATGAATTGAAAATTGCTGCGCGCGAAACATTGGAGGCCATTCCTAAACATCTTCTGGATAACTTTCAATATTTTCTGTTTAAAACGAAATTTGTTTTTGTTGATTTTCACTCATTATGAAATAAAATTATAATAACAGCCTAGTTGCACTTAGATTTTTAATTTTATATTAGTTAGTCGTGTCGTAGCCAACATGCCCAAAAATATAAAAAGAATCATATTAGGTCCAAAATAAAATAAAAATATCGTTATGTGCAATTATTTTGGCCATGTATGTACATACATGTAGTAAACCGAGCATTTATGAAATTCACTTAAAATTAACTAATTATATATTGTTTCTTCCATTTTTGCTTTTATTTACTACTTGTCAAAGATTAGATGTCAAAGAATTTAGATACGTCAATTTGACTTACCTGCTTCAGTAGCGTATCGGATGTTTGGTTTGGTTTCGTTTGGTTAACTACCAACATTTATTCACAACGTAAAATAAAATAACAAATTCTTTCTACCCTACATCATATTTTTACAAGTTTTAAATAAAATTAGAACGGCACTAATAAACCGGAATTTAAGTCGGCCATTTTAGGGGCCCTTCGCGTTCGATCTAAGATTTTTGATATGCTCCATCCCAAATATTTTTATTCCAAAGTAATATAACAATACTAGAATAACCTCAGAATTTTCATATTATAACTTTTCTATCTAATGGTGAGATTGGCTATAAACTACTATTTTTTATTACAAATTAAACAGGATATGCCTCAATACGTGAAATTCTTAAACAAATTAAAGCATATTTATAAACATATTTTTTTGGCATTCAGCATTCTTATATAAAAACTTTTTTTTTCTATCAATATAGTCTGAGAAGTGTGCTCAATTAAAGAATAATTAATTTTTAAATTGCTGTTTATTTAATCCATGCTCATTGAATTCCGATTTTTAGAATGTATTTTTACAGAGTTTATTGATGGCAATGACAGCATCAAAGTACCCACTGGTTTTAGTGATTTTCAATTTTCATTGGTTATATAAATGTTATAACAATTAATAACAGATTACTAAGTATGTTTTTTAAAATCTATTTCAAATTGTAAACTCCTTTCAAAGGCTTTCAAATAAGAGATTTTATGTAGTTTTCAATAATATTTTGTAATTTTGTTCGAACAATATTAATAAGTCATTTTGCACAGCCACTAAATGGCATTACTAAATTACTTATGCAAGATGAGAAGCATAAATTATAATTGTTAATATAATAGAAAAATTTATGTATGTCGTAACATCTATTAGTTCTGCAATTATTTTTATTACTAAACATAATTTTTTATTTTTACTTGATCTTTCAACCTTTTCTTCTCTTAGAGGACAGGATAGATACGACAGGGTAGACCACACAACACAAAAACACCACATGGAACATTGACATAAAAAACTATCCCGGGATCGAGTTAGGGTTGTTTATATCAGAGCAAAACATATTAAAAAAATTGAACTATATACATTCCAAAAAAGTATGATTTTGAAAAAAGAAAATTTTATCATGGCACAGGCAAGTAAAAGAATTCAGGAAAGAAGTCTAGCCAAAATTAATGCACAAATCTGATGACCGATCGACAGGGACACAAAAAAACTGTAATGGATTTACGATTTACTGACACTGTACTGGATAACTGAGTTGTCTAGTTTTAAAACACGACAAATTCACACAAGTCAAGTGTTGAGAAATTGGGAAAAACTGTTTTGATTACTTAAACAGTAAATATAAAGTCAATATTTTAGCGCCAGAAAATTATAGAATTTGTCTTAGTTTGCAATGTATATGTTACGGTTAAAGTCCGATGGCTGGTTAATAGGGAGTTTTCGTTGCTTACAAATTGCAATTCCGGTTAACGCTAATTGACAACTTTGACATTTCAATTTCGATTATCGTATATCGTAACCGCTAGCTGCCGATATTTTACGGACGTTAGCCAAAGCCGTTAACATAGCGGTACGCATGCGCACTAGCGCAGTAGAAACACAACATTGAAAAATACAGATCTAACCTAACCTCATTCTATTTTGTTTATGTTTTGATTATTTATTTTATCTGTGTTAAACTCGTTGGGAATTCTTAGTGCTTCAACTAATCGAGGAATGTCTTTTTTTCAAAGCGGAAGTTAGCTTTGCACTCTTGGTCAGATAATATTTCTAGGTTGAACTCCCCATAAAGTTCTGCTCGATATTCGATGTTGTTTTCAAACCCTTCCAACAGCGTAGCATCCTCCAAATCCGATTCATCACTAGAGTCCAATAAAATTAAATTGTCCATCCTATATAGCGATACCCAAAAAAGTCATATAAAGCACTTTCAAATCAAACAACAATACAAAAACCAAAAATCAAAACACTACGCTACGGGCTGTGCTCAGCTGTCAGTTTTCGGTTATCGTATCGTATGTCGGCTCCGAACCGATGAAGCGAAAGTCCGAAAACTGTTTTTTTATCTGTCAAAATAGCGGTTATGGTTGCGTATCTGTTAACCGTACCGTTGAATTTTTTTAAAGCAACGAAAACTCCCTAATGTCGACATTAACAGGTTAATGTTTGGGTTTGGTTTTGGTTATGATTTTGGTTGTTTTGTTGTATGTTATTCTCGGGATTACCCGGGAAATGTCGATATTAACCGAATATCGGCCCTTAACCGTAACATATATATTAAGTTAGGCTGTAGAGAAATAGATGAAGAATCCATTGACATATACCGGATGCGTCTGAAAAATGTCCCACCCCTATAACTTTTTTATTTTTTCAAAAAAAACGAGATTTGGTATGTTAGTATATGACATAAATTAAGACTGATTGACGTATTCAATTGTTTTCGGCCACTTCCTGTTTCACCGGAAATTACTACATTAGATTTTTAAACGGCACCCTTGCTATTTTTTTACTTATTCGATAGAAAATGACACTCTGAATAGAATGACATATTTGTCAATCACACTTAAAAAAAGTTGTATTTAAAATTTTAATCTAGAGTGCTATGGTTGTGTTAAAAACACTAATTCTTAATCAAGGAGTCTTGGAAAAATAAATTTGATGGTCTAATGTTTTTAGTCTCTTGTCCTACCTTGTTAAAAGATGCCCAAATCGTATTTTAATCATATTTCAATTTTTTTAAATGGAATGAGGGTGGCTCATTAGCATATTTGGAAAAGGCATTTTTTACGTATAATTTGGTACCATACACTTGGTATTTCGAGTCAAATTGTCGTTATGAACCGTATGTCATAATTTCAAATAAACCGAGAAATAAACCATATGCGAAAATACAAAATACAATTGAATACGTCAATCAATCCTAATTTATATCATATACCTAATATCCTTTTTTATCTGAAAAAATAAAAAAGTTATAGGGGTGAGCCATTTTTGAGACACACCCGGTATAACTTTTTTTCTCGAAAAATGGATTTATCTAGTTTTGAAACTAGGCGACTCAACTAACTAATTTTTTGCAAGCTCAATTGGCATTTAGGGCTGATAGTACAAAAAAAACAGCCTCAAAGACGACTGGGTATGACAATATTGACAATTGATAATTTTGGCGAGGGCATGCATTTATTATAAACATTTTCCGAAAATGTCCTAAAAAGCTACATATTATATTTCTTATATTTTTGGAACGTTTGTATATTTTTTAAAAATATAAGATATAAATGGAATATTCTTTTTGTTATGGCACTAAGTAACTAAATTGTTTTCATACAAACCTTTTTTATAAATATCTCAAAAATAACAAATTTCCTTAACTTTTTGACCAGTAACATAATAAGAGTACCAGACAACTTTACTATAAAAGATTGGATGAAAAACTAATAAGTATAACTCAGAACAATAGCGTTGAAGAAGTATACGCAAATATACTAAGCAGTCTTCACAGTGCAGGAGAAGAAGCTCTTGGATCAAGAGCTCAGGTTCAAAGTAACAACATATGGTGGAATGAAGAAATAGATTGCTTAATTAAGGAAAAGAAAAACGCGTACAAAAAATGGCTAAGTAGTAAACAACAACAAGATAGAGTCGCACATCTAGAAAAATCTACAAAGCCTTAACCTGGTGTATAAATAGATTCTTGAACGGCGCCCCAATACCAAAAGAGTGGAAAATCGCCTATACATCCTCAATCCACAAAAAGGGAAATAAACAAGTGTGCTCCAACTATAGAGGTATATCAGTAACAAGTACCCTAAGTCGATTATACGGACTGATTCTTAGAGATTTAATAGAACAGGAATACCAACAACAAGAAGAGGAGGAACAATCTGGTTTTCGGACTGGGAGAACCTGTACCGATAATATTTTCTGTCTGAAACAACTAATAGAGAAAAAAAGTATTATTGATCAGGAGACACACCTCATGTTTATTGACCTTCACAAAGCATATATGATACCGTTCCAGTTAACAGACTATTCAAGGTACTACAGGACACCAACATTAACTACACCTTAATTAGAGCTCTGAAAAACTTGTACGAAGAATCGGCATCCAAATTAAAATAGGCAACACATTATCTGGAAGGTTCTTTATCAATAAAGGTCTACGACAAGGATGCTGTGTTTCTCCCACATTATTTAAAATATATGTAGCAAAGGCCTTGAGACAATGGAAGAGAAAATGTAATGGAATGGGCATTAATCTGGGAGCTACCTGTCTATATACCCTGCAGTTCGCAGATGATCAAGTTCTTATGGCCAACTCAATGACTACACCTATCTAGGAGTGATGTTTGATACAACAGCTAAAGATGACAAAGAAATTAAAAAACGAATATCACAAGCTAGAAGAACAATTGGCTATCTGAATGGAGTATTTTGGAGTAATAAAATAGGGAAGAAACGGAAGATCAATATATACGAGACCCTGGTAAAGAGCAGTCTACTTTATGGTGCAGAGACTTGGCGAATAACGGAAGCCAACCGAAAAAAACTGGAAGCGGTAGAAATGGATGCCTATAGAAGAACCTTAGGAATTTCCCGAAGAGATAGAGTCCGAAACGAAGAAATCCAACAGAGGATAGGAATAGAGGGATCTTTGGCAACCGACATCGAACGCCAACAACTTATGTGGTACGGACATGTCCAAAGGATGGATGACACACGACTTCCAAAACAAATTATGCAATGGATACCCCAACATCGAAGAAAACGTGGAAGACCTAAGAAGACTTGGAAGGAGGGTGTCAAAAGAGCAATGAGTGCCAGAAATCTAAGCGAGGGACAATGGAACGATCGGAAGACGTGGAAGCTAGGCATCGGACAACGTCGCAAGACGACTTCACAAGTACTGTATACGAATTTAATCTATCAATAAGACTACCTACTAACAAAATATCTTCTCGACTTGAGCAGGTTTCTAAAGATGATGGGACTGTTGGAAGACGCCGAATGTCGACTCTGTATGGAAAATGACGAAACAATGAAGCACGTTATGTGTACCTGGCCCATGGGGGGCAGGGCCAGGTTTGAGGTGTATGTCAAAACCACGCTAGACCTATCAGACCTAGGAGACATAACACCCTCGGACATAACAGGCCGCAGTGGTCTCTTAGGGAATACGAAGATTATCTACTAATAAAATAACTTCGCGACCTGAGCAAGTTTCTAAATTAGGTACCCTACGATTTCATATTTAACATCAAAGATCTTTATTATTTATGCTCGTGTTTACCACCAGTTTGCATTCTGCCGCTACCAATTCACCTCTAATCGCTTGTCTAAAATGAAAAATGTAAACTATTAGTGGACCCACCGTTCATCAATTTCGAAATGGTATTTATGGTCAAAATTCCCCGGTCGCAACGTCACATATTTGTTAAGTTTGAGCCGTACCGGCTACCCGGACCTGGGATTACACAACGGAATCGGCTAATGCGAACCGCAAATAGCGGTAAAAAAATAAAAACTACAAGACGGATCTCGATGCGCAAACTACGAGGGATAGTTAACAAGTATAGGAATTTATTATCACAACTTTTTCAGTGTCAGCTGATTATTTTCGCTTTTTTTGAGTGTTATATATAGAAGGTGTCCCAGAAATAAGTGCAAGTATTTTAACTGGTAGTATAGAGTTCAACCCCAGAAACACATAAAAAAATAGTTTTTGAATATTCAAAATTTTTTGAATTTTTTTTTTGAAATTATTTTAGTTTTTATTTAAATAACTAATTTCTTGATAATATGGCAACATATAGGTAGTAGATTAAATTTACAAGAAAGAAAATCCAGAAAAGATCCAGAGGTTCTCAAAATTTTAGCAAAAAATATTGTTTTTTTTTTGGAAATCTTCAAAGTAAAATAACTCCGTTATTTTGGACTTAATTGAAAAACGATAAAGAGAAAATATGTTTCTTTTATCGAGATCTACGCACCCCTTAAAATATTTGCACTTATTTCTGGGGCACCCTGTATATAGCCTGTTTCACTGCGAAATTTGCCAATCTTCTAATCCCTTAGGTTACATTACTCCAGTCCTATCCCTTTCAAAAAGTCCGTCAATCCTATCAGCTTTAGATACTGTAGCGTTTTTATAAAACATTACCACTGCGAACGGCAGCTTTTCATCGGAGAGCAGTCGTTAATAAAGTATTTCACTAGAGAGAAAACTAATCAATAACAATAAACAAAAAAATATAGATATTGGGCGCCAGGCATGTGCAGAGAAAGAAAACACAGTTATATATTACTTAAAACTAATTACTATATTTATTCCAGATGGACTGTGATGGTAAATAGCATTGTACAATTTTAATAATTATTATAGTGGTTATATGTCAACGAAAGTGGTTTTAAGAGTTGTACTAAATATCTATGAAAATAACACCATTACAAGACGTAATGTAATGAAACTTAAGATCTAAATCATATTTTAAATATTAAATCGACATGAATGTCCTTAATAATCTAACCTCTAAACATAATCTGTACGATATTACTTAAGATGTACATTATTGTTTAAGACTGAAAATGTTTTAGATGTTAAATGTAAAACTAGAACTTAAATCTACACTTAGCTGTTCTTTATGTAGCCTTGCTTCAAACAGTAGCAGCGTGAGGTGGTCTCGCATCTCTGTACTCGGCCATCCAATACAACAAAAGGGGGCCAGAATGAGGACACCAGGAATTGATACAGCCGTACTGACTAGAATGAGAAATGGGAACGAAACAGCATGGGGCTTACGCTACATCCATACTGTGGCAATATGGGGACACTACTACTAGGACCTTGGATAATGCCCGAACCTTGGAATCAATACATAGATATGGGACACCTGCTTATACCTTGGACACAATCCGTCCATAAGATAACGGTACAGGGGAACACTACCCGTACCTTGGATACTACTAGGACCTTGGATAATGCCCGTACCTTGTAAATAGTCCGTACCTTGAACCATAACCTTGGACTATAACCTTGGAAATAGTTCGTACCTTGGACCCTAAAAATATGAAACTCTTGTTTAAAACCAAACAAGGTCTAATAAACAAAATAAACCTACCTCGAATTACTTCCGAATGCTCAATAAAAAACAAAGAAACTGTCCTATCCTCCATGTAACATTCTGGAGGACAAAAGAAAAAGGACGCCAACGTGCCAGAAAAATACAAATACAAGTTAAGTTGGGACATCCAAAACTCTACCCTAAAAATATGCAGTAATAATATCGAATCTAATAGGATAATAGAGAACAACGGCATACGGTCGAGTCGGCCGCTCCTGGCACGTATACGTAGACGTAAAGAATCTTTTACGTGTATAAAAAATAGAAAATATATGAAATGCGCATGCGTACGTAAACGTTTACGTGTTTGTAGGCCGATTCGACCGTATGCCGTTGTTCTCTAATATCTCATCTTTACCTGTTGGTTTGAAATAGCAGCTGATTCAAATTATACAGCAAGATTTAAATAATCACCATTTCTAAAAGCCGGGATACAACAGAGCGGCAAAACAAAGTGAGGTTAAGCACGGAGAGAGTTGACAGAAGCGATGTTGACAGCGCCTCCTCAGAGCGATAACAGGGTCGTGTCAAACGATAACAGGGTTGGCGACTAAGGAACGTAAAAATTACGCCAAGCGTGCCAAATAAATTATCAGGCCTGAACGATACGGAATCCGATGACGATACGCCAGACATCATATATATCATATATAAAAAAGACATGTAACGAACTAAAAACGTTACAATACATATTGAGCTTACAATACCCTGTTGATAGACCCACACATCCTTGAATGTTTTTCTGTCACTGCTATAAGGTCTGCCGTGAATTTTGGCTATACACGGTGTCATAATTTCGGGGTACGAGTATTGGTATCTCGGTAACCGTAATAGATAAAGTTTTAAATATTTCAAGGATTGTTGAGTATTTTGGAAAAACGGATTTTTTGAAAATCAAAAAACTAATTGCGCATTTTAATAGCCACTGTATATTAGAGCTATCTGATGGTAATCTTAGATTTTCAAATTTAATATAATATGATAATTTCTGAGATACAGAGGCCAACTTAATTTTTTTAAATATGGACCTGCATTTTTTATTTCAGGTTTAGAAAGAACTTGGTCTCCTGAGTACTACTCGTGAGTACTACTCCTTAGTACTACTCCTGAGTACTACTCCTGAGTACTACTCCTGAGTACTACTCCTGAGTACTACTCGTGAGTACTACTCCTGAGTACTACCCCTGAGTCTCTTAGTTCTAGAGATTTGCTACCCACTAGGGTGCACCAACAATTTTTTTTCTTTTTAGTTACCATGAAAATATCATTCAGGATGATGAAAAAAAATCTGGTAGAGTTTTCGTGATTTTCTGTTTCCCATTTAAATAACACGGGGAAACAATTTTTTTGGGGGAATTTTATTGCGTTCTAACAATGTCAAAAGTTAACATATGATATGTCATTCTACTCAGAGTGTCATTTTCTATCGAACAAAGTAAAAATATACCGAGGGTGCCATTTAAAAATAAAAAGTTGTAGTCATTTCCAAACATATTTGAATACGTCAATCAATCTTAATTAATGTCACATATACTAAGATACCAAATCTCGTTTTTTTTATCTGTAAAAATAAAAAAGTTATAGGAGTGAGCCACTTTTGGGACGCACCCGGTATAAATTACTTATGAATAGAGGTTTTGTGCAGTGTTTTCCAGTTTTTGCATAAAATTTTAAAGGCATAATGCTGATTCAATATACAGGGTGAACCTTAAATAAATTTAAGTATTTTAGGGATAGTATATTTCGACCCCAGAAAACACGTACGTGAGGATTTCTTCGCAATTTTTTTTTGGAAAATTTAGAATTAAAAAAAAATTGAAAATTATTTAATTTTAAGTTAAAAAACATATTTTCATAATATGACAACATAGGTAGTAGATTAAATTTTCAAGAAAGAAAATCCAGAAAAGATACAGTGGTTCTCAAAATTTAAGGATAAAATCATTGTTTTCTTAAATTTTCAAAGTAAAATAACTCGGTTATTTTCGAGTTATTGGAGAACGGTAAAGAGAAAATTTGTTTCTTTTCTAGAGATCTAACAGCCCTGAAAATATTTACACTTATTTAAGACTCACCCTATATGAAAAAGATTGCCAGATGGTGCAAATTAGTAAATAACATTTGTCAACAAAAAACTTAATATCTGGTAACCTTAAAAATCTTAAAAATTAAACGACGGGCAATAAACAAGACACGGCTCCAAAAGAGTATTAACATTTTGAAATGCACTATAGATAAATTGTTAAAAGTCGTCTCACCTTTTGAAGCGTGGCGTCTATTGTAGCGACAACCTACGCAGTACATGATCGAATGTAGGTCAAAATTAAAGATGACTTTGGTCCTTGGAGTTGCACAATTTACATTTCAAAAGAATTTAAATCCAGATCATTTCTTTAATTTGGTTTGAGAGTTGTTTCTTGAGAATTGGTCTAGATTTTTCACAGACTCTGTGGAGGAACTAACTCACAATTAAAAACATCGTATGTCATATTGTAGCCCAATATTTTCTGAATATTTTATTTTTTCACTCGCTCTGATATGTCAATTATTAGAGAAAATACGGGGTGGCAGAAAATATAGATTATTATTTATCAACGTTCACATTCGAATTATTGTTTTTATTTTAGGGAATCAAGGGAAGGAGGAGGTCAAGCTGTATCTTACTAAATCTCGCGTGGTGGAAAGAGAGAGGTTAGTATTACCATAGTTTAAGGAAAAGAATAGTCGCACTCTCCCAAATATTTTCTGCCAGTTTTTGCAATCTGTCGAATATCAGCAGATTGCAAAGCGTTTCAGTTGAATTCCGTCTGTCGAGCTGCGAGGTTCGAGCGTTGCGTCCTAGCACAGAGACGGATTGACAAAAAATGAGTACCTTACTGTGTGCTGCTATTAATTGTAGTAATAATTCAAAAAATTGTTCTTTGATTTTTTTTAGATTTCCATCGGATGTAAATTCGGCAAGCTGATAGTAATTATCAATAAACATTTAATTATATTTGTTTATTTTAGAAGCTGAAATATTATGTAATTAATTAAATGTTATTATTTTTTTTAGCATGTGGGCAGATTTTAAAAATATAGTTTTTTAGATATACAGGTTGTCTCAAATATGCGCATAAAAATATTTTTTGGGTCAGGGGATTTACCAAAATTTTCATTCCAATAATAATTTACAAGATAATTTATATAAATTGTTTTCGAAACAATTTTAGAGTAAATATTTTGTACATCTGAAGTCTCCGAAAATTATTCATATTTTTTAATTGAAAGAATTTTATAATAGTATAATCTCTTATAAATTTAGTGGACTGTATTTTTTATGTTTTTTTTATTTTATTTATTTTTTATTATAAGTGGTCGTAATATAACAATATTCACAATATTATAGACAAAATATTGAGTTTATATTTGAGAAAAGAAAAGTGCCACACCTAGCTTTAAATCACCGTAAATATACAGGGTGGCCCATTAGTGCGAGGAAGTCCAATATCGTCGTCGTTGTCGAAGATGTGAAAAAAGTTTTATTCATATGTTTCAATGTTTATAAAGGGGTGTATCCTAAAATATTTTGTTATATAAGGGTGTCACAAAAAAGTTATGGTAAAGTTAGTTTTATTTTTTTTAAATTATTTTTCATCATTCTATATACATTATTCTATATAGTTTTTTTTATGGCGTCACCAAAATCGGAATATTTAAAATGGCATATCTCAATTTTCGCAGTATTATATTACGTATGGCTCTTTCAACAGTAAATTTTTATCAAAGCCACCTAATATGATCTTTGTCTGATATTTTATCGTTGAAAATCCCATATGTAATGAAATACAGAAAATATTTGCAAAACGGCTAAAAATTTAAAACACTTTAAATAGAAAAAATGTACACCTTTTAATTCTACATCTGAAAGAAAAATAATATACAAGGTGTTGCATTTAAAAAAATGAGATACAACATTTTAAATATTACGATTTTGGTGACGCCATAAAAAATACCCTGTACACGATAATATAAATCTTTCTACATGAATTTATTCTGGTATCCTTCATGTTTAAGAAAGCATAGCTAAGTATTAATAAAGTTATATTCACTCTAGTTTTTTACCACTTTTTGTATATAATGTTTTTAACCAAAGTTTTAATAAATAAGATATAGAATGGCAACACCGCAGTGTGCTTTAAATAAAGACAGTGTACTATATGCAAAATTTTATGCCGAATCAAGTTATCTACAGTAAATTAAACTTGTTTTAAATCAAAAAAAAGCTGTAGAACATCTCTGAAATAGATAATAATATAAAAATATGTCATTATATATTTTTTCCGCATTTCTTCCCACCACAAGATTTTCAGATACAGAAGAATCGTTTCCTACACGAAATGTGAAAATATTTTGTATTCAAGCAAGTTTTTACTCGATGATTGAACTTTATTTTATTGTGAACTCATATTTTTCTAAATACATATCTGTGAAACTATGGCGAGTGCCACGACTATACTTTGCCTAGTTAATACACCACGACTATACAGCTACATCAGTGGTCACGGGAGGCGAGAACAAGGTCATATAAAGTGGCAGAAAAAGAACAAAGGATTTGACAAGGAGTAAAGCTACTAGTTTCCTTATACTATGATATTCCGTAATTTTTTTCCGGCAAAAAATAGTGTCAATATGTGAGAAAATCAAACTTGGCCGTTTGCCACCAATTTGCATTTAAACATTATTTAAGTAATCACTGATTATATTTTAATTGATGATTATTATTGTTGCATTTGCACCATGTTCAAGGTATCCCATTTTAATTGAAATCATACGGTATCTCCGTTATTATATAAGATAGATAGGTGCGGTTTGCACAAATCTGTTCCACTTTTTTGTCAAACGGAAGATGCCGTAAACAAAATTTTCACAGCCCTCTTCGTTTCTGAGCTACAGGTTCTTTTTGAAAATTTTGCAATTTGGGACCCAACACCCAACGTTTGGGCAACAACGTAAATCTTTGCTAGCAAATTTCATATTCGTATTTGTACCTTTATTTTACCTTTTTTTTATTAAATGTCAGGTTTTTTGACGGTTTTGAAATTATAAATAGGCTGTTTGTTAAATGGAAAATCATTTTCTACCACTCTTTGTATGCTTTTAAATTAACAATAATTTCGGGATATGGTTGCGATGAAATTAAAAAGAAAATATACCGTCATGTCAATTTTAGCCCAGACGAAAAACCCCTAATTGCAAATATATGTGACAAATATAAGGATATATTTAGAAAATAGGAAAACTGACCATGTGTCCGTATCAGAAAGAAGTGAAGTGCTAAAATTTAGATTTATCTATTTCGTCAAAATAGTTATAATTATAGTCCTCAAATAAATGTTTCGCGGAAATCCATATAATCGATAATTTCGAGATATCCAAATTATCTTCCAAAACGTCATTTTCATCAAAATCCATGTTGTATATTTTTTTAAATGCATCTGCCTGATGTAACAGAATGTTTCAATTTTATTCAGTCAGTTATTGCTCACTGTACAAGGCAGAGCATTTCAGAAATTACACCGCCATATTGTCAAGAATAAAATATATTAATATTGTTAAATTTACCATAAATTATTTAATTAGTTATATTATAAGTTAATTTAAAAGTGATAATTATTAGTTTATCAAATTTTTAGTTAACTGTCTGTCAAAATATTTTTCTATAGTAAAACGTATACAGTAGGTTCCCGGATTGTCTTTACAAGAGGAAATTGAGAAAATTGCGTTCTGAATAAAAATGTTGCTTGTTCTAAAATGGTTAATTCTCTGGTTAAGGCATTTTCCTCAAAATCCCAATCATAATAAAGTTTTTAATCTTGTAAAAACAATCCGGGATATACTGTAGAATGCTCAAGGAATTAATAAACCGGTAATTTTAGTTCATGTGGTATAAACAGAAAAATCAATTTTTATTAAATATTTATTAAACTATTAGTTTCTAATATGAACAGAATTGCTTTAAATGTATATCACATTATTTTTAAAGGTATACAATTTTTCTACAAATATTATTCAACAGACTTTTAGAAATTGTAACACAATACAGGATAAAAGATAACTTTTGAATTAATTTTAGTTCACCATCTTATCAAGAACTGTAAAAGAAAGTTATAAACTCACCGGCACAAAATTCCGCCACCTTAAGTTTGATGTTTAATAACTTCTAAATTTGTTGTCATTATTTTTTATTATTTTAATGGCTTATATATTTCGGTTAGGTGGGCTTATAAGCCCACCATTTACCCCGGTATACCGGGGTAAATCAAAACTTCGGTTTTGCAATAAATTCAAAACACCCTGTGGAAAAAATGGGACGGGCATTTTGGATAAAAAAAAACACTTTCATGTAATCCTAGATGTATTCCTAACATTTCATTTTTTGAATTATCCTATTATCTTTATTTTTTATGAGCTACACATTTTTAAATAAAGTTCTGATATTTTTACAATCTTGAATTTGTTGAAAATGGAGCTCCCAATGCCCACCATTATATTGAAGATATCCTCCTTGAAGTTTGGTTTGTTTTGTTGGTCGTTCGATTTGCTCCTTTCATTGGAAATCAGTTTATACTAATACATGATAATGCCAGGTTTCACGTTGTGCGGGGTAACGAGTTAGGAGTACGAGTAGTTAAAGAGTACCTGGATGAGGTTGGACTATCTGGATGAAGATTGGAATGGCCTCCTTGTAGTCCCGACCTCAATCCAATGGAACATTTGTGCTATGAACTTAAAGAGCTATTCGTCGTTGTCCTATTCCACCATAAATTTTACAGAACCTATGGCTAGCATTAACAGAGATTCTTCCGTTAATGCTAGCCTTAGCTCTTGTAAGAGGTTTTCTTGCTCTATATCTAAGATAAGCTATAGATCAAGAAAGAATAACTACCCTTATTCATGCGATACGATGAAGACCTCGAGCTGTTATTGCTGCGAAAAGTAGACCTACACGCTACTAAATTTATTATAAAATTATTGTTTTTAACAATAAAAAATCTCTTAAATCAATACTTTACTTAAAAATGTGAGCTCATAAAAAAATAGAGGTAATAGGAGAATTCAAAAAACGAAATGTCAGGAATACATCTAAGATTGCAGGAAAGTGTTTTTTATCCAAAATGCCCGTCTCATTTTTTCCATAGGGTCTTTTAAATTTATTGCCAAAAAACAATCGTCACACCTGATACCATAATCATAAAAATCGGATTACAAAATAAAAACTTATGAACCATCAAACTTAGTGACATTTTTAGGGTGTCGGAATTTTGTCTGCCGGGGAGTATATTTTTATTAATACAGTTTTAAAAGTTAGCAATTTTTATATTTATATTTAAATACTTTATATTTGACATAGTCACTACAAGAATTACATCACAAAATAATGATATCACTGGCCTTGTTGTCCAAACAAAGAATATTAAATTATTAACGGTAAAAAATAATACAAAATCTTCTATTTTCTTTCTCCGTGGTACTGTCCGATGGAGTCATCCTCAGCATACTGACCGTCATCGATGCCATTCTTTAGATTCGCTGACGGCCAAGGATCTTGGTAATACGGATCTCTACAACAAACTCCGGTTGTGCCTGATTCACGATCACGACAAGCCTAAATTAAGAAAATTATTTGTTATATATATTTAAGACAGATACTCTATTTCTTACTGTCGTTGCTGCTTTTAATGACTGCTGTTGAGGGCTCAAAACAACAGGCACGGGACTAACAAAACCGTCAGCATTACAGTAGATTTCCTGGACGCATTTCAAAGCAGCAGCACAGCCAACAGGTATTCTAGAAGCATCAGTTAAGTTCGTCAATTGAACGTTACTACCCGATCCAGTTTTGTCAGGTATCCTGGTCGGAGATGTTGGTCTAGGTCCAGTACTGGGTGGACTAAAAAATATAATCATTATTATTATTACATAAAAAAATTAAAAATACAAGTGAAAACTAACCTAGAGACAGGTGGTGAAATCGGTGTCTGTCTTAGAGGAATGCATTGTCCATAAGGTCCAATTCTTTCTCCCAGGCCGCATTGTGGACCAGATGGCGGACTTGGTAGACTAGGCGAAACTCCGGCACTAATACATTGACCAAACGGACCTGGTTTTTGTCCTGGGCCACATTGCGGTCCAGATGGAGGCGGTGATGGTGGACTAGGTGGAACTCCGGCACTAATACATTGACCAAACGGACCTGGTTTTTGTCCTGGGCCACATTGCGGTTCAGATGGAGGCGGTGATGGTGGACTAGGTGGAACTCCGGCACTAACACATTGACCATATGGACCTTGTTTTTGTCCCGGACCACATTGCGGTCCAGATGGAGTCGGTGATGGCGGGCTAGGTGGAACTCCGGCACTAATACATTGACCAAACGGACCTGGTTTTTGTCCTGGGCCACATTGCGGTCCAGATGGAGGCGGTGATGGTGGACTAGGTGGAACTCCGGCACTAACACATTGACCATATGGACCCTGTTTCTGTCCCGGACCACATTGCGGTCCAGATGGAGTCGGTGATGGCGGGCTAGGTGGAACAACGGCACTAATACATTGACCAAACGGACCTGGTTTTAATCCTGGGCCACATTGCGGTCCAGATGGAGGCGGTGATGGTGGACTAGGTGGAACTCCGGCACTAACACATTGACCATATGGACCTTGTTTTTGTCCCGGGCCACATTGCGGTCCAGATGGAGTCGGTGATGGCGGGCTAGGTGGAACTCCGACACTAATACATTGACCAAACGGACCTGGTTTTTGTCCTGGGCCACATTGCGGTCCAGATGGAGGCGGTGATGGTGGACTAGGTGGAACTCCGGCACTAATACATTGACCAAACGGACCTGGTTTTAATCCTGGGCCACATTGCGGTCCAGATGGAGGCGGTGATGGTGGACTAGGTGGAACTCCGGCACTAACACATTGACCATATGGACCTTGTTTTTGTCCCGGACCACATTGCGGTCCAGATGGAGTCGGTGATGGCGGGCTAGGTGGAACTCCGACACTAATACATTGACCAAACGGACCTGGTTTTTGTCCTGGGCCACATTGCGGTCCAGATGGAGGCGGTGATGGTGGACTAGGTGGAACTCCGGCACTAACACATTGACCATATGGACCCTGTTTCTGTCCCGGACCACATTGCGGTCCAGATGGAGTCGGTGATGGCGGGCTAGGTGGAACAACGGCACTAATACATTGACCAAACGGACCTGGTTTTTGTCCTGGGCCACATTGCGGTCCAGATGGAGGCGGTGATGGTGGACTAGGTGGAACTCCGGCACTAATACACTGACCAAACGGACCTGGTTTTTGTCCTGGGCCACATTGCGGTCCAGATGGAGGCGGTGATGGTGCACTAGGTGGAACTCCGGCACTAATACATTGACCATATGCACCTTGTTTTTGTCCCGGACCACATTGCGGTCCAGATGGAGTCGGTGATGGCGGGCTAGGTGGAACTCCGGCACTAATACATTGAACAAACGGACCTAGTTTTTGTCCTGTGCCACATTGCGGTACAGATGGAGGCCGTGATGGTGGACTAGGCGGAACTCCGGCACTAATACATTGACCATATGGACCTTTTTTTTGTCCCGGACCACATTGCGGTCCAGATGGAGACGGTGATGGTGGGCTAGGTGGAACTCCGGCACTAATACATTGACCAAACGGACCTAGTTTTTGTCCTGGGCCACATTGCGGTCCAGATGGAGGCTGTGATGGTGGACTAGGTGGAACTCCGGCACTAACACATTGACCATATGGACCTTGTTTTTGCCCTGGACTACATTGCGGTCCAGATTGAGCCGGTGATGGCGGGCTAGGTGGAACCGGCACTAATACATTGACCAAACGGACCTGGTTTTTGTCCTGGGCCACATGGCGGTCCAGATGGAGGCGGTGATGGTGGACTAGGTGGAACTCCCGCACTAACACATTGACCATATGTACCTTGTTTTTGTCCCGGACCACATTGCGGTCCAGATGGAGTCGGTGATGGCGGGCTAGGTGGAACTCCGGCACTAATACATTGAACAAACGGACCTAGTTTTTGTCCTGTGCCACATTGCGGTACAGATGGAGGCCGTGATGGTGGACTAGGCGGAACTCCGGCACTAATACATTGACCATATGGACCTTTTTTTTGTCCCGGACCACATTGCGGTCCAGATGGAGACGGTGATGGTGGGCTAGGTGGAACTCCGGCACTAATACATTGACCAAACGGACCTAGTTTTTGTCCTGGGCCACATTGCGGTCCAGATGGAGGCTGTGATGGTGGACTAGGTGGAACTCCGGCACTAACACATTGACCATATGGACCTTGTTTTTGCCCTGGACTACATTGCGGTCCAGATTGAGCCGGTGATGGCGGGCTAGGTGGAACTCCGGCACTAATACATTGACCAAACGGACCTGGTTTTTGTCCTGGGCTACATGGCGGTCCAGATGGAGGCGGTGATGGTGGACTAGGTGGAACTCCCGCACTAACACATTGACCATATGTACCTTGTTTTTGTCCCGGACCACATTGCGGTCCAGATGGAGTCGGTGATGGCGGGCTAGGGGGAACTCCGGCACTAATACATTGACCAAACGGACCTGGTTTTTGTCCTGGGCCACATTGCGGTCCAGATGGAGGCGGTGATGGTGGACTAGGTGTAACTCCCGCACTAATACATTGACCATATGGACCTTGTTTTTGTCCCGGACCACATTGCGGTCCAGATGGAGGCGGTGATGGCGGGCTAGGTGGAACTCGCGCACTAATACATTGACCAAACGGACCTAGTTTTTGTCCTGGGCCACATTGCGGTCCAGATGGAGGCGCTGATGGTGGACTAGGTGGAACTCCGGCACTAATACATTGACCATATGGACCTTGTTTTTGTCCTGGACCACATTGCGGTCCAGATGGAGTCGGTGATGGCGGGCTAGGTGGAACTCCGGCACTAATACATTGACCAAACGGACCTGGTTTTTGTCCTGAGCCACATTGCGGTTCAGATGGAGGCGGTGATGGTGGACTAGGTGGAACTCCGGCACTAATACATTGACCAAACGGACCTGGTTTTTGTCCTGGGCCACATTGCGGTCCAGATGGAGGCGGTGATGGTGGACTAGGTGGAACTCCCGCACTAACACATTGACCATATGGACCTTGTTTGTGTCCCGGACCACATTGCGGTCCAGATGGAGGCGGCGATGGCGGGCTAGGTGGAACTCCGGCACTAATACATTGACCAAACGGACCTAGTTTTTGTCCTGGGCCACATTGCGGTCCAGATGGAGGCGCTGATGGTGGACTAGGTGGAACTCCGGCACTAATACATTGACCATATGGACCTTGTTTTTGTCCTGGGCCACATTGTGGTCCAGATGGAGTCGGTGATGGCGGGCTAGGTGGAACTCCTGCACTAATACATTGACCAAACGGACCTGGTTTTTGTCCTGAGCCACATTGCGGTCCAGATGGAGGCGGTGGTGGTGGACTAGGTGGAACTCCGGCACTAATACATTGACTAAACGGACCTGGTTTTTGTCCTGGACCACATTGCGGTCCAGATGGAGTCTGTGATGGCGGGCTAGGCGGAACTCCGGCACTAATACATTGACCAAACGGACCTGGTTTATGTCCTGGGCCACATTGCGGTCCAGATGGAGTCTGTGATGGCGGGCTAGGTGGAACTCCGGCACTAATACATTGACCAAACGGCCCTGGTTTTTGTCCTGGGCCACATTGCGGTCCAGATGGAGGCGCTGATGGTGGACTAGGTGGAACTCGGGCACTAACACATTGACCATATGGACCTTGTTTTTGTCCCGGACCACATTGCGGTCCAGATGGAGGCGGTGATGGTGGACTAGGTTGATCTCCGGCACTAACACATTGACCATATGAACCTTGTTTTTGTCCTGGGCCACATTGCGGTCCAGATGGAGTCTGTGATGGCGGACTAGGTGGAACTCCGGCACTAATACATTGACCAAACGGCCCTGGTTTTTGTCCTGGGCCACATTGCGGTCCAGATGGAGGCGCTGATGGTGGACTAGGTGGAACTCCGGCGCTAACACATTGACCATATGGACCTTGTTTTTGTCCCGGACCACATTGCGGTCCAGATGGAGGCGGTGATGGTGGACTAGGTTGAACTGCGGCACTAACACATTGACCATATGGACCTTGTTTTTGTCCTGGGCCACATTGCGGTCCAGATGGAGGCGGTGATGGTGGACTAGGTGGACCTCCGGCACTAATACATTGACCAAAGGGACCTGGTTTTTGTCCTGGGCCACATTGCGGTCCAGATGGAGGCGGTGGTGGAGGGCTAGGTGGAACTCCGGCACTAACACATTGACTATATGGACCTTGTTTTTGTCCTAGGCCACATTGCGGTCCAGATGGAGGCGGTGGTGGTGGGCTAGGTAGACCTCCGGCACTAATACATTGACCAAACGGACCTTGTTTTTGCCCTGGGCCACATTGCGGTCCAGATGGAGACGGTGATGGAGGGCTAGGTGGAACTCCGGCACTAACACATTGACCATATGGACCTTTTTTTTGTCCCGGACCGCATTGTGGTCCAGATGAAGACGGTGATGGTGGGCTAGGTAGAACTCCGGCACTAATACATTGACCAAACGGACCTGGTTTTTGTCCTGGGCCACATTGCGGTCCAGATGGAGGCGAGGATGAAGGGCTAGGTGGAACTCCAGCACTAACACATTGACCAAACGGACCTGGTTTTTGTCCTGGGCCACATTGCGGTCCAGATGGAGGCGGTGATGGTGGACTAGGTGGAAGTCCTGCACTAATACATTGACCAAACGGACCTTGTTTTAGTCCTGGGCCACATTGTGGTCCAGATGGAGGCGGTGATGGTGGACTAGGTGGAACTCCGGCACTAACACATTGACCATATGGACCTTGTTTTTGTCCTGAGCCACATTGCGGTTCAGATGGAGGCGGTGATGGTGGGCTAGGTGGACCTCCGGCACTAATACATTGACCAAACGGACCTTGTTTTTGTCCTGGGCCACATTGCGGTCCAGATGGAGACGGTGATGGAGGGCTAGATGGAACTCCGTCACTAACACATTGACCATATGGACCTTGTTTTTGTCCCGGACCACATAGCGGTCCAGATGGAGGCGGTGATGGTGGGCTAGGTGGAATACTAATACTAACACATTCACCATATGGCCCCAGCTTCTGTCCGGGGCCGCATTTTTCTGAAGAGGTTGGATGTAAACTACTCCCAGTACTTATACATATTCCATTAGATCCAACAATTTCACCTTCTTGACACTCAGGTTCCGTGCCAGTTATTTTGTTAGTTTCTGTTGTTGGAAAGGGTGGTAAATAACCTTCGGTCGGTCGGTTGGAGTATCGATAATCATTTTCATATTGAAGATTGCTTGATAAGCTTGAGACTGCTTCCGGATCAACTAATGGATAAAAGGCAACGGCCCTTATAGGTTTGGCGGTTGAAATTCTTACCGAACCGATAATATTCAGTTGGGAGTTTAATTCACCCAGATATTGTTCCTGAAATAAGTTGCTTTAAAAATAGGTTGCTAATTAAGAAAGAGTTAATTGTATACCTTGGTCTCTAGGTCTGTAAGACCTGATTTTCCATTAGTCGTAAATAAGTTCTTTACGTGCTGTAGAACAGATTTTGGATCTGAACTTGGCAAATTACAACATACTTCTGCTTCTCCACAGAAATTGGCCTAAAATAGATATTTACGTTATACGTCCGGTAAATCACTTATTACAATATGAGTGAGATATTTATGTATTATTACAGAATTTCAAGACAAATACTGTAAAAGTTAATAAACTAATGACATACAATGATTTATTTTATTCTGGTTTTTGATTTAATATACCCAGATTTTCTTGTTATTAATCAGCTATAAACATAAATTTTTTTAAAACTAAACCTTCTCCAACCCAGTGTGAGTACATATTAAAGTAAAACCTCTGACGAGAGCAATTATCACAGAAACATTCTTATACGACGAACGACGATACTCGGCGGCTAGGCGGAACTCCGGCACTAATACATTGACCAAACGGACCTGGTTTATGTCCTGGGCCACATTGCGGTCCAGATGGAGTCAAAAAAACGAAAAAAATATAAAATAAAATATGATTGTCTGGAGAATTATGGCATAGGCCTTTATTTAGAATTACAACGAAAGGTTTTTCTTTTTGAGAAATTATATATTTTGTAATTACAATGAGAGAGATTGTTAGATGAATTTTAACAACCCAACTATTTTAATTCTTCCGAGTGGTGTTACTTCCTAGGTTCACGTTTGCTTGTTAAGTGCCGAAACATGTCGCCTCCCTTCTTTTTTTGAAGCAAATTAAATTTAAATAAACATCTTAAAAGATTGTGGGTTATTTGTTCCCTACCCCTCGTCAGAGGTTTTACTTTCATAAATATTTTTTTAAAACTGACCTTGTTGAACCGAGAAGTATTCGTAGCTACTCCATCGACACATTTTCCGATTGGAACGCAAACTTTGGTCTTTCCAACACATAACGACCCATTATTATTTTCAAGCAAATCCACCGGAATAGCATTTTCTTTTTTAACTCCTTTGAATGGTACAGATGGCTGAACCCCAATGAACCCATTGTCGTCCTGAACTTTGTCACCATTAGCTAGAATAATATTGATTAAAGGTACTGATTGATTTGAAACGCAATTTACAATATATTCACTTACCAGCGTGTGCAAGAAAAGGATTTTGCGACAAATCAATATCGTTTTTTATTATTGTAACAGATTGTTTGCCGGGTGACGTTATTAAGGACTCTGTTTCTTTGATTTTCAATTTACCACTTAGAAATATGTTCTTTTGTAAATCGATGGGTTCAGCTAATTCTTTGTTCGAACTAGGAGAGCTAGCAGACTTTGATTTTTCGGTTTCATTTAAACAGTTACCTGGAAAAAGAAAAAAATATAGTATACAGGGTATTCCGGAAACTTTGCCAGCATATTCTGCAGAAGAAAATAAATAAAAAAGTTCGTACAAATGTATGTCTTGGAAAATACTTAGTTTCGGAAACACAGGGTGTAGAAGTTTATTTTTATTTCTATTTTTTTTTAAATAATTTCTGAAGCATCGTCAATATTTGGATGAAAGTTGGTGTCTGGGAGTTTTTAACATGAGAAATTTGAAATTGATATCAATATGACTCCTGTTTGCAGGGGGCGCCAGTTACGTGTGTTTTAACTGTTCTGAAGAGTAATAACTTTTATATATATAGCCCGTACCTGTATAAAACCACCGTGTGGAAAAAATATAAATTTCCGTGTTTTTTTAAGTAAAAAATGTCTCTTGTTAAACATCGTTACGAGCAACTGTTCTCAAGATATTTAGAATGGAAATACATGTTGAGTAGATAGTTATTTGACTGAAATGATAAATTTGGGAACTTTTTATTTTTTTAAATTGATCATAAATTTTTCTTCCAAAAATGATGATAAAACAGTTTCTGTTGAACTTTTTAATTTATGTCAGTGATGACAGGTATTAATAATTTCGATTTGAAATATCTCGAGAACCATTACTCGTAGCGATTTTTACCAAGAGACCTATTTTACGTATAAAACGTCGCAAATGTATATTTTTTTACTCAATAGTTTTATACAGGTACGGACGAAAAGTTATTACTCTTTAAACCAATTAAAACACATGTAAGTGGCGCAGGGCCGTATCTGGGGGGGGTGTTTTGGGGGTTCAACCCCCCCCCCGAAATTATGGCCGAAAATTTTTAAAAAGTAATGATCATTAAGTAAGTAAGAACGAAACAAAAAAGAAGAAGAAGAAGATGGATGAATATCAATGACTAAAGAATACAAGGACATGTAACGCCCATATACGGGCTGCAGCAGAATTTGTGACCTTAGACGCCAACTTTTTAGACATAACGAATGAATCATCAGCTGGTCATCAGCGACAATTTTGGCGATTTTTAATAGTTGGTTGTGTGTAGTGAACTTTGTATAAACTTTATTACAATGGTAATTTGTTAAGCTTTCAAGTGTAAAAGGCGCAATGATAAGAAAGAGCCAGAAGTTACGTTTTATAGGGAAATAAACAGTCCCCTACACCTTTTTAGCGTTTTTTATTGAATTCGATAATTATTTTTCTGATATTATATGTACTTGATATGTACTATACGTCGATACTAGTTATGTACCTTTTGTTAACATTTTAATACGTTTTTTTTTCGTAATTAATTAGTATGATACCACCCGATACACCATAGGCGTAGTGAAAACATATAATATCAAAAATATAAATATCCCTTCAAGCGGCAATGTTAAGTAAAATATGTGCCACGGCACTGTTTGGAAGAATGGTCACAGTTTGGTCTCGGGTGCTATTTGTCCTTGTATTTTTAGTCATTGATGAATATACATTATACACCCTAACCTCACTTTTCCACTTTGAAAGCAAATGTTATTTTCGATTTTCGACTTTCAACATTCAAGTGTTTAAAACAGCAAAAGAAAGGACAAGATTTTGAATGTTGTGTGTTTTGCTGGTCATTAACGTGATTAACGTTTGTTATGGTTCTGCTATTAGACAATGAATTCTTGGGCTATGACACTTTAGCGGCAGAACTAGACTTGTGGCGGCAAAAATGGAAGCAGCTACCTGCAGTCGACCGACCTAAAAACGCCATCGAAACGATAATCGGACTGTAACCAGTGTATATTTCCAAATATATACATTTTATTAATGATCTTAGCAACTCTACCAGCGTCAACAGCTACACCAGAAAGGTCTTTTTCAACCCTAATGCCGCAACCGCGCATGCGGTATTCGGCGATCTCCGATCGGGGCTTCGCCGATTTCCTATGTGTGTGGATGAGGAAGTCGGAGTTCGGCGACTCGATCGGCTACGAGAACGAGCGCTCATCTCTATGTTGTTGCTATCAGAGCCCGCATGTGTGGATGGAAAGGCGAAGTCCGATCACGAGCGTTCGGTAGTTGACGAGCGCTAGGAGTTCGCTAAATGCCGCATGTGCGGTTGCGGCATAAGACGATTGAAGGACTTCCTACGTAACTCTACAGGTCAGGAGCGATTGACAGGACTTGCTCTATTAAGCGTACATAGAGAAATAAATATCGATATCGAAGAGTTAGTCAATCGTTTTTCCAGGAAAAGACCAGTTTATCCTTTAAGATTAATAATTTTTACCTGTTACTTTTTAAAATTTTATTTTCAATTAAGATTTGAGTGTAGCCCAAAGCGATTTTTTATTATGCTTTTTTCCTAGCAGCTTTTGTACCCCTCCCCCCCCAAGCCGAACCCCCCCGAAATTTTGGTCTAGATACGGCCCTGAAGTGGCGCCTCCTACAAACAGGAGTCATATTGACACAAATTTCAATTTTCTCATGTCAAAAAACTGCCAGACACCAGTTTTCATCCAAATATTGACGTTACTTCAGATATTATTTTTTTTAAGAAAATCGAAATGAAAATGAAGCTTCTACACACTGTGTCTCACGGTATAGAAGTTTCATTTTTATAACGTCGATCCGTTCGGTAGCTACGGGGCATCCGTAAGAGGATAAACGAAATTATCTCTTAGCGCCCAATTCATGGCCGTGCTATAAATATTTTAAATAATATTACTTACTTATGCAGAAATTTCAAAAATACCTAATCAGTTTTTATTTAACATTTTTCCACATTTTTGAGACAATCTTTATAACAAAGAAAAAACTAAGAAAAAAAACAATAAAAAATTAATAAAGTCACGCAACGATTTTACCGATAACGACTGCACTGTTCTCATTCTCAGAAAAAAATAGACGTTGCGTTCCACGTCTCTAGGTATCGATCTTTAAAATATGAAATATGTTGCTGTTTATTTAAATGTGTCTTGTAGTAAATTGATCATACCTCAATACGAGTATTGTGTCATTCTTGAAATTCCTTTCATAAACATAGATCCAGTAGACGTACTTTATATGATTCAATCTTACCTTCTGCTGAGCATTTCTTGAAATATTTGTAGGATGCTTTCAGTGGGCTGTCTTCTGCCATCCACCAAAAATCTTTTGGATTTTTCGACTGAAAAGCTTTACTAATTCCTTGGTCGTCTTTAGTTACATGACTCACATCTCCTAAAACCGTGCCTAATGTTATTAAACCCAGGAGCAGTGATCGTTTCATTTTGTTTCCGAGTAGTTCTGAAATAAATGAGAAATAAATTATAAGAAATTAATTTATTATTTCGCTTTTCGGGGCGAAGTAACTTTTTATTAAAGTAAGTAAAAATGTTGTGCGAAGGAATGTATAAAGTGCATGATTAGGAGAATTTACAACAAAAATGAAAATACAGAGTGTCCCAGAAATAAGTGTAAGTATATATGTGTAAGAAAAAAAATGTTAAAAATTTTATATTTTTCTTGAATATCATTTTCCGCAAAATACTAAAAAACTTTTGAGTGCCTTGCTTGTTCAGTTTCGGGAAATTTATTTATATCTAGTGCTTCGAGAGAATGCAATGTTGCCTCCTCCTACGTTATCCACATTCTGTAAGTTATAGATTGACATTTTCAAATTTCTACAAAAAAATACTTAAATTAATTTTAATTTTATTCATTGTAGATTTTTTGACATTATGTTCACTATTTTCGATAACAATGATAAACCATAAGCCATATTATTATATTAGTCATCTGCAACTTTAAAAGCTATAATTTTTTTCCGCCATACATTCTTGTATATCTGGAAATTCCAGTCGTAGATTGTCTGACTTAGAAATTTTACATAGTTAAGAAAAATGTATGTATCTCTGAGTTTATATTTAATATATACAAATGTATATATTTCGGATTTTATGAATCATTTTTGGCAAAACATGTTTAGTGCCGATTAAAAGTTGTTTCTTTATATTTTGTCGATTTCGGTCTCCTAGATGAAATAGACGCAGTTTTATTAATTTGCCTTAATCCAAGTTTAATAGTAACCTTTAACTATGTTTAATATCATTAACTGTTAACTGACCAAAGTGTTAAATAACTACTAAATGATTCCTCATCAAAAAATATGAAAAAAGTTCATAGAAACATGGGTGCGAAAATATATAGTTATAAAGTTACAGGATTAGATTAGATTCTTAAAGGTGGCTTTCGGCCTGATCCACTGCGATCTTTTCAGATCTATTATCGTGGTCCTCTTCTGATCCTTGGATTACATTCTCCAGTCCTATCCTTTTCACAAAGTTTAGCAACCTGGAGACTGAATCCCTCCATGTAGCTCCCTGGCAATGGTCCATCATTGCCTATTACCGAGAACTGCACATTTGTCAGGCTGTCACACCGACATAAAATGTGTTCTGACGTTTCTTCTTCAGATTGGCAGAACCTACACATACTTAGCTTCGTCTGTCAGTCTCATCAGTTTTAGATGCCTATTTAGCTTACAATGCCCTGTTAGTGGACCTACTACAGCTACAGCTTTGACTGTCTTTCTGTCCTTGCTTATCAAATCTACCGTGACTTTTGGCGAATGTTCTACAATGAACCTTTTCGCCTGTCTCTGCCCTGGTGAGTTTCACCACCATTCTAGAAATTTGTTGGCCACCCATTGTTCCGTGGCCATTCTCGTGACCGCCTTTGCAACGCCGCAGAAGGGTTCTGGGCCTATGAATGGCATTGATGCTTGAATGGCTTGCTTGGCCTTTTCATCTGCCTTTTCAACAGTGCTACATTCGCCTAAAGTATTCAGAGCACGCACACAGTCCCACGCTAGTCTAGAACTGACCTCAGCGGAGCCGAGTGCCTTTAGCGCCGCTTGGCTGTCTGTGAAGATGGCCACAGAACGATTTGTTCTTGAAAGTTACAGGATGTTAAACTATTAAAAATGAGGTGCTTTATAATTATGTTAAATATCATTATTTTTTTTAATTTGATGCAGATATATTTCATATCAATTAAACTTTTAGTTACGTAATTGAGGGCGCAAATTTTAAGTTCATTGTTGCCACCCATGGACATATTCGGCGCCGTGCTGACTAACTGGAATTTAAATTTCGCACTGGGGATTCAGGTGGTAGCTCTGCTTAGTGTTGCACAAGAGTCTTGAAAAAGTCTTGCAAGACCAAGACTCTTGCAAGAAATTCAAGACAAGACTTTCAAAATTTCTTGTCTTGAATTTCAAGACAAGACAAGACTTTAATATGCAAGAAATTTCAAGAGTCTTGCAAGATTTCTTGAATTCAAGATTTCTTGAAAGTTAGAAATGATACTTTTTTTAAGTGATAATTAGGTCTTTGCGCAAGTTGCCGGGTTTATACAACATTTACATAGTCGTAATCACAATCATAGTCATAATAATAAAAGTTAAACTATCCACTTCTTATAAACCTGTTGACATCTACCATGAACTTAGCCTTTAATTATGTTACCCAACTTCACTGATATAAAAATTATGATTATGAAAATGTTCTATAAACGCACATTAAAAGTGCGTTGTGATTATGACGATGATTAAGACTGTGATTATGATTACGACTTATGCAAATGTTGTATAAACCCGGGATTAATATTGACCAGTGTTCATTTTTTTTTCTATCATAGCCAGTATTTTATAGTTGAGAATGAAATAAAAAAAAGTCGAGGCAACAAACCGTATATTGGTAATTGGTATTCTACACAAAATTATATTGGTATAATGGTATTATAAAAAAAATGTCACGGTAGTTGAAACTAATGGTGGGTTCGTTGAGTACGCTATTTGCGCCGTTTGGTACTCCTTTTCATGCACGAAATTGCTCCGCGAACAAAAAGTAGTATCAAATAGCGCAAATAGTACTCTAGCATGACCTTTCCGTACACCCTGTGTCCAAACTTCAATCAATCAAATTCACTTCAATCATCAAACAACAAATCTTCCATAATAAAAAAAATAAAATAAATAGAACATAATAAACTACCAAGAATTAATAACTAGAACTAAAAAATGAACTTATGGAAATTCATCTATCCAGGAATTCAAACAAATTAAACTTCTTCCCGATTCTGAATTTAGCCGGTTTCTGTGTTTCCTTATTACCAGTGCTGCCTGCCTTCGTAAAGAACCTTTCTGCGGGAACAGAAGTAGCAGGTGTACAAAAAAAATCACGAGCCATTTTTTACAGCACTGAAAATATGGCACTATGGCTCTGCCACCATGCTAAAATATCTGTTTTATCGTTCACTCTTTGCATAGATAAATAATTTTGAAGTTCATTTTGAAAACCACTATCAGTATTGACATTAGAACTACAACTACCAAAACTACCTGAATGTTCGTCTTCAGACATAACAAATATTGAATTAAAATCAATATCAAATTCATTAACAGATGATGAAACGCTTGGTGTATACTTAAATCTCTAGGTTTGCACATCATGCCGTCAAAATAATACATTTTTAGAATTTCTTCAATTTTTGCCATTGATTACAGTTGAAGGTTGGAACCTTTGGTGTTACACAGCAAAATAAAAACTATTATTATAAACTACTGCTTAGTTTATAATCATCTGCTGATGATGCTAACATGGTTAGCGCAACGCGCGTCCAGTGTAAAAGTAAAAGTGTTTTGGTGTATTGTGGTGATTTAGTGTTTTTATTTTGCCATTGACCGTTCCTCTAGACTTCTACCCCAAGACGTTAATTGAAACACTTCTTTTTTATGGCGTTTTTTATGGCTTTACTTTTTCAAGACAAGAAATTTCAAAAGTCTTGCAAGACAAGACAAGACTTTGCCATTCAAGAAATCTGCAAGACAAGACTTTGGAAATTTCTTGTCTTGAATTTCAAGACAAGACAAGAAATTGAGAGATTTTCAAGAGAAGAATTCTTGTCTTGTACAACACTAACTCGGCTGTAAAAAATGTCAAGTTGCCGCATTTATTTATTTATTTCCTGACATTGTCATTCATTTTGATACTTTAGTTTTGTATTACGAGTTTTTGGTTTAAATAAATAGTGTTGTGATACTTTAAGCTTAAAAATGTTTCCTAGCAGACCTTACAGTCGAACATTGTTCTTCTTAGAACCTCTTTTAGTGCGAAGTGTACAATATAGCTTAATAGCCGTAAAAAACTCATCGCAACTTTATTAGAATATTTTAACGGGAAAGCGGTAGTAATGGTCCTTTATGTCCCTTAAATGCTATTAAGAAGGTGATTTTTGTTGATGTAAATAATAATTGTTTATATATATATATAATTAATTAATTTTTGTTTCCTAAAACATTTTGATTAAAAGAAAATATATAAAAGTGGACAACGCTGTACCGGCCAAGCTTAATCACGTGACTAAAAGTTTATTTGGTATGAACTGTATACTATTGAACATCAGTGCTATAAATTTTAATAATAATAAATAAGATTAAATAATTCATTTATTAATTCTATTTTTATTTTCAGTTTATTAATTGTGATTAATAAAATTACGTTTATTTCATCAAGGAGATTGAAATAGACAAAATATCAAGATACAACTTTTAATCGGCATTAAACGGTCTAAACAATTTTACTAACAAGAGAAAAGAAAGTATTGCACGTCCCTGGTGAATATGTCGACATTTTTTTAGCATAAAATATGTTGTGATTTTCAAAATTTCATTCAAATCGCCCTTGAAAAAATTACAATAAATCGAAAAAAACGAGACAGCATAAGACTTAAAAAATAAATCTTATTTTTACATCAGGAACTTCCCTACGAGTGATAGCACATGTTTTTGAAACACCTTGTATACCAACATTTAAATTACATACAATGTTTTTTTATTACTTTTAATTTCCATTGCTATTCTTAGATTCCTATACTAAAAAGAATAATAACGATATGGGACTTTAAAAAAATTTAATTGTAAAATATTACCGTACCGGCTCTCCACTGATGTCATTCTGTGTTCCGTTCGTATTTTGCATGCAGTATTTTCACGATTTAGCTTTAGATTTAATGGGTACTTATTTTTATTTTGTAAAATAAATTTGTTTTATTATCTGTGATGATTGCACGGCTGCATAATAAGCTCAGGAGATCCTGGACTGGAAAGTTCAAGGCCGGATCATTGGCGAGTTCATGACACCTGTATTTGCAGCATTGGCAATTAAAAAAATCATAGAGTGACCCAAACATAGAAAAGGCAAATTTTAAAAACGATTGATTTATTCTAGCCGATAAGTATTGGA